ACAGTGGATAAAGTTTGGCAAAATGCCAATTTTTTGTAATGAGGATAATAAAGGAAAATATCTGACCAATAAGGAAGGTGGTCAGAGTGACGACAGGAGGATACAGGATATAGAAGGATACAGAGGATACAAACTTGATTTGAAGTGTGTGCCTGTGAGCTTGCATGAAGGGGACACATAGTCGAGTCAGAGACAAAGTATCTGGAAGGAAAGGTTAAATGTGGATTCATACTTATTTCTTCATTTACATTTAAAGAGCTAGAATAATCACTTGAGTTCTAAATGGACAGTCTAAATTGTTTTTTCTTTAGTTATTACTTTCTCTTTTTAATACAAGTAAATGAATTTCTTTTAAGAAGGAAATTTATCTCATTTATTAATTTTATGGAACTAAATCTTACCTTTTTTTAAAGACTTATGCATATAATAATGGGGGTACAAGACTTATTTAGGCGTATAAGAATGGGGTACATTGGGTGAGTGAATTCACCAGAGACACAGTGGGGAACAAAACAGACAGATTGACTGTTCTGAGCAGCAGGAGAGTCAGAAGAGGTCTGCTGCATCATGTGGGTTGCTCCCTGGCGGGGGATTGAACTCATGCTGCATTGGCTGAGGATAGCTTCATAGGTTGCATCTTAACCCCTTGTGCCACCAGGGAGGCCCTAAGTCTTAGCTTTTTTAAAAATCATAGTAAAGCCCATTTGAAATGTTTGTTCTCTCTTAACTTTTTTCTTTGTAAATTCAGGTAGTTTTGTAAACCCAGTATTGTATGTTATATTGCCTGCTTCATGTGTGGCTTAAAAAAGGAAAACAAAAAATGTTGTAAGTTGCATGAAAATTTTACACCTGGGCCTTCCTGGTGGCACAGGGGGTTAAGTCTCAGCACTATGAAGCTATCAACAGCCACTGCAGCATGAGTTTGATTCCTGGCCAGGGAGCTATCCACATGCTGTGGCAGTCCTTTCCTGTCTTGCCTGCTACTCTCCTCAGCAGTGTATTTCAATCAATCTGTGTGTTCTGTTTCCCGCTCTGTCTCTGGTGAATCCTTCCCTGCTCACCTCTGGCCTACACCCCAGCTAGCTCTCGTATGCATAAATAAATAAAATAAAAAGAAAATTTTAGACCTGGCCTTTTAAAAATTTTGTAGGTGGTACATTTTTAGCAGGGTCTCTGGGTGGAATCTATACTCAAACTTCAGACATGCATACCTACCACCAAAATGTAGCATGTGTTTCATCATGAAGCAAATACTCTTCATGTGTTCTTGACTTTGAATGATATGTTATACACAGAATATATTATTGGTTTTTAATAAGAACATGTTTCAACTACATTTAAAGTGTATTTAAAAATAGATACAAACTCATTACAGCTTTACAAAATATTCTTGTTTGGTTTCCTTTTATCATGTTTTAAGGTCAGATGTGACTCTAATGTTCTACAATGAGACAGAGATTGATAATCGGGAAAGAATAGCCCTTTAATGTGATTTATACCTATAGATTTTATGTCAGATATGAAAAGTTGCTGTTTAAATTGTAAAGGAGGATCCATTAAAGACCACTTTAAACCATTTTGCTATTTAGCTTACCTTGGACTCTTCTTTTTAGAATTATGCTTTTTCAAGCAAACTTTGAATAGTTTATCAAATGTTAATAAAATATAATTTGATAATGTTTAATTATTCTAATATAATAAAAATAATGTTTCTTGGATAATTTTAGTACTACTTAAATATGAAAGCTTATGTCATTTCAGGGAATATATGAGCCAGTATTAATTTCCATCAATAATTTAAGTTTCCTGTCCTTAAAGGAGGTTAGACAATGGCAGGTTATGGATATAGTAGGAAATGTTAAAAGTATAAAAATTCCACAATGTCTGTCATTTTGTCCTGTTGGTTTGAGTACATGGGTCAGATATGAAGGAACCAACCTATTGAATATTATATCTAGTTCTTGAATGAATCTCTAAAAATACTATTTAGCAGTTGACATTATTATTACAAGTATTCCTTAGTTACCTTCTGTTAAACTGCTGCCTCTCCAGTACATTTTAGTCACATTTTCTTTTGTTTGTTCCAGCATATTTTTCATAAAATGAGCTGTCCTGTGGCTTGACTGATGTTTAAAGAATATAGTTTGACACTTGCCTTTAACTTCTTATAAATTAATCTCATTCCTCACATGACTTTTCTTTTTTTCCTATGAGAAATAGTTTGCCTTCACCAGTGTATAGAAACAACCCTCTCAGAGGGCACCTCAGATCTTACAATCTGATTCTTAGAGTTAATGTAAACCTTTCATTTTACAGACAAGCACATTTAGACCTAGAGAGGTAAAGTGAGTTAGTTGCCCAAGACAGGAGATAATACCAAGGGTGATCCTTTAATTTGGGATTTTTTTTGCTTTCCAAATTGTTTTTTCATATATATTCTGTTTATATATAAATATATATATATACTATTATTCTTAGTGGCTTCATTTTAAATACTCATTCTGTAGTCCTTTATTTCTTCAATCTATTACTTTTCCCACCTACACGTGGGTCGAACTGTATTTCTTCTCTCCAGATTGATGCATATTTTCATGCCTTTGCTTCAAGATTGTCTTTATTTCTACCCAAGAATAATTGATCTTCTCAAAGTCTTCCATTTTTTTTCTTTTCATAGCATTTGTTTGTTCATCTGTATCCATTTTCTCAAATCTCTTTATTTAAAACCATTTTTAGCCTCAGTGATTTAAAGTTAATGATATATTTTTTTTATTTTCACTTTCCTTTTCCTAATCTAGACAGATCGGTGTTTCTCCATGACAGAAGCTATAATGATAACTCAATCTTTGATACCTCTCACCCAGTGTTTTACACAGTTTGATTTGATTCCTTATGCGTTTAAATAAATGCCAACAGTATCAGTTGGATTGCTTTTAGTGTCAGGAACAAAAAAACACCATTCCTATTGGCATATAAGCCAGTCTAAAAAAAGTCTTACAGAAAGTCTAAAGGTAGGTTGGTCTTTAAGATTTTAAATATTCAGAAGTTTATTTAAAGAGATTAAGATCTATATTTATGTAATTCTCATACCTCTCCATTCTTTGTATTTTGGCATCATCCTTAGCTGTCTTCCTGTATGTTAGAGAAAGAGTTTTTGGCACTCAGGGAATTATGTACTTCATCTTTTACTCCCTAAGTTGAAGGAAGAAATTGTGTGACAAACTTCTTTAGCTTTCCTCTCAATGGCACCGTTTAATTCAAGTACATTTCCTAAGTCAGTTGATAATTTTTGGTATCATTATTTTCCACACTGGTTTATGACAGTTAGGGCCTTTTCTTGCTAGGGCAGTACTGGAGATAGTATGTGACAAACTACTATGCAGTAGGAAAGACAGGCAGTTAAAATGTGTATCCCACTAGTAATTATCCTAAATACTAATATTTGTATGAATTTTGTTACCTAAACAGTTTGTGTATACATGTGTATCAATATGTGAGCTTTCATTTGGAGGCAATGGATGTAGTCCAATAGATTTTGTGCATATAATTTAGGATCAAGCTTATAGTAATCTTTGTTTTCTTATTTTAAGCAATGAATTAACTAGGAAATATAGCATCATAGAAAATGATACCACTGCAATCAGAATTCCTAAAAGAAAAACTGAAGCACTTTGGAAATAGGCAATTATTTTGTGTCTGATTATTGCTAAAGAATCCTAAATTTCTTGGGCATAATTGGTGATGTGTAAGGTGGCACTTTTCAAATTTTAATGTACAGATCACCTGGGGATCTTATTAAAATTCAGATTCTGATTTAGTTGTTGTGGAGTGTGACCTGAAATTCTGTATTTTTTGTAAGTTGAAAGATAGACTTAGTGCTGTTGGCTCATTTTGCAGAGCTAGGGCTTAAAAGACCAAACTGTTTTTTTTTACATCTTCTAAAGGTACTGAGAACTAACTCAGTTTATTATTGTGGGCTACCATTTTCTTTTAATTTTTAAAAATATTTTTATTAATATTGGTTTACATCATTGTTCCCATTATAGAAGTGTCGGGTTCCCCTCTCCAGGCATTTTTGCCATAGTGCACATCCACTGACAAAGCATCTGTAATCTATACTGTAGACCCATGAATTACATTGTCTTTTTTTTTCTGGACCTTTGCAGAGGCCTCATAATAGGTCTCCTTGCTTAACTTCTGTTGTCCCACTGCAGTAAGTTCTCTAAATGCCAGATGTAGTGATCATGTAAATTTACAAGTCGACCACATCACCCCACTGCTTAAAACTTTCCATTGGTATTCCATTGCTTTAAAATAAAAGCTAAAATTCTTACCATAAATACACAGTACTAATTGATGCATCTCCTGCCTACCTCTCCAAACTTATTTTATACCCTTTTCTTTTCCACTATTACTAAAGTTATTTGCTGTTGCCCCTTAATGCTGCTTGTAATGTGGGCCTCTGCATCTTCACGTTTACTGCTTAATAAATATTAACAGCTTCTGAGTTATTTTATGAACGGTTTTTAAAAAAAGTTCTTGGGGGATGTTGTACTGACAGTTCACTACATTTCAGTCATTTCAATTAGGGAAGAATATAAAATCAACTAAAATTTTGGTTGGTCTATTAAAAAAAAAAATTAAAAAAAAAAAAAAAAAGCGGCGCCGGTTCGATCCCCGGCTGCTCCCCGGCCACCAGAGGAGGGTCCCACATGGCGCGCAGACCTCTCCTGCCGCCCGCTGCTCCTCTCAGCAGTGTACTTCGGTCCTTCTGCCTGCTCTGCTCCCGCTCTGGCTCTGGTGAATTCTCTCACCCTCCCGCGCTTCTGACTGTACCCAGTGCATGTACAAACAAACAAATAAATAAATAAATAAAACATGCCTCTATTAAAAAAAATTTAAAATTTTGGTTGGTTCAATTTATTTTAGAGATTATTTCATAACACCTTTTAAAGTTTTCCCCCATAGTTTTATAGTTTTAATGATTTTTTTTTCTTCCCAAG